TCCTTCTCCTCCCTCTATGGAGCCTGTAGAAAACTCTGGAAAGAACATGTTCAGTTATATCTTTACTCTTTTTTTGTATTCCTGTTAAGCTTGTTGACGCAGGTAAACACCAAAAACTCCAGATGGTCGCTCAGCCTTTCAAGGCATCCTTGTCAGGTTACTGTAAATTACTCAATGATCACAATATTTGTCAAGGCAAAACATGTGAAAATATAGGAATGAAGGATGTTGGGATGCAGAGAGGACCCAACCTACCGTTGGTATAATGCATGATGACGTGTTCTGTAATTGACTGTGATTAATAGTTGCCATGGAATTGCTAATGTGCCCCAAAGGCAGAGTCGTATTAGCGAGTGATGATTAAATGTCCTCGCTGCGGCCCGCGGGGAGCTGTGGGCCGTGACAGTGTGTCAGAGGACAGCTGAGGAATCTTCCATCTCAGTCCTCATTTAAGGGCCACAACAGTTGTCTCGCCGGGATAATCTCAGGTCACATCTGATTCCGCTCACATTTAGCTCATTGCACTTTGTCTGCTCGAATTACAGGCCTGCTTGCTGACTATTAAACCAAAAAAAATAAGGGTGAGTCGTAATGACTTTGGTGACAATAGAGTGCTGCAGTGATGACGTATTATTTTGAGCCGACCCAGATGTTAGCATCGCAAGTGGTCCCTCGGAAGAAATCAAATGTTCCCGTTTCTTTAGCAAACAAATGTTTGATACTGAAATGTTTTGCTTTGCAGGATAAGCTAATAGTTGAAGCATAAATGCAAATGCCTCAAGTAAAAACACTGGGCTATAAATAAACTACATCACGCTCACTTGACTTCAGGTCACCAAGGCAGCTATGGTCCGGTGTGATGATGTTAGCTTGTTAGCAACGGCCATTTTTAGGACACGAAAAAGTCTAAGACATTCACAAATGTCATGTTTATTGATGTATTTTATGGCACAGAACAAAACATTTGAATCTTGTAAGCTTTTATAAACCACATACATTATTTCAGGCATCTAACCCAAACATCATTCTAAAAAACATTGACTTCAAGACAAGGGAACCTGAAAATGCTAAAAAGCCATTAGGTAATTATGTTTGCACCACTCATGGCATGCTAACATGCTCTACTAAGCGTATGAACATGGTGACAATTAAACCTTTCCAAGTATCAGCTTATGTTAAAATTTCCCCCTATTAGCATGTTTCAATGTTAGCATTAGCATTTATCTAAAAGTAATACTGTAAAGCCTTATTGATAGTCACAATCTTGACTGTTGAGAAAGTAGTGAACATAGTTTTTACTTTTATCTTGTTGTACATGAATTCCTATCTATTGCTTGTAATGCAGTAGAGAAAGACAAGTTAATAACATAGCTTCTCTATGACAGAATTCACAGTGTTGACATTTTAAGGTAGCAGGGACTTTCTGCTCTATCTATCATGTCATACATTTTTGTCTCGGGAACAAAGAAAATGTTTGTCCTTTTTAATGAGTCCTTCCAAGAGGAGAGGACTTGGCTAGGAGTAAAGAAAGAAACTATTCTCTCCCCTGTGATCGAGCAAATTAGATGAAGCATGATCCCTCGGAGTGTTTCTTGAATATTTACAGCAAAGGAGAACAGAACAAATGTTGTCCTGCTGACAAAACCAAAGTCACAATTAATGATGAAGAGAAAGCTTGTTTATCTGCCCATGCGCTGGCTCAGAGGGACAGTAGGGGTTCAAACATTTGCTTTTTGTGGTTAAAAAAAGAAATGCCTTTTGTTTATTGACGTGGTTTGGTTTTAGAATTGTGTTTCCTTCTTTTTTAAACCTCAAGGGAGCGTTGACAGACTTGGTGCTCCTCTGCTTTCTGTTTGGTAATTAGCATTTTTAGTTTCCCACTGAGCAGGAGGTTTTGTAAATTAAATGCATATCTCAGCCCTCTTTGTTTAATCTCCTTAATAGTCAGGCCGGTAGCACACTGCTTAAACTCACACTGAGGAGCATGGGGACTTTCTGAATACCTGGAGTGGAGAGGTTTTCTTTGCTGAATTAATCCGCTTGGTTGATGTTTCCTCAGAAGTGCTGCTGAGTACCACACATGCCCAGCAAACAATCTGCAAGCTGCGAGGAACCATGTCACATTTATTCCTGTGGTTTCCGGGGAGCTGTAGGTAACAATTGTTGCAGTTAATGAGTTATCTATTGATTTTTTTGTTACAAGATTGTGAAAGATTTGCTATAATTCGTTCCAAAGCCCAGGAGGACTTATTTAGTTGCCTCTTATGTTTAGTCAGCAGTATAAAGCCCAAAGGATTTTAAATCACAATAAATGGAAACATCCAATACTGTCTTACATTGTGTTATTGGAGCAGTCCTGGCATTTTTGTTTGTCTTATGATTAGTAAGTGGTTTCTGATCTGGCATAATTTGTCATTCCCTTTCAAAAAGCATAAGAGATCACAGTTGCAAAGTGTCGTTTTTCCTCTGATGGGTTCAGGGTTAAGGTTGAGGAATATTCCTAATTAAATTATAGGAAAATCTTAATCAGTTTTTGTCATTTAAAACCTTTTTATCTCTACAGGGTCAAATGTTTAAAGTGCACCGATCATGCTATTTTTAAGCAATAGCATAGGTCTCAGATATATAAAAAATATATATAAAAAACATGTCTATGAAGTGTTTTGTTAAAAATACCAAACAGATCTCCCATTCTAGCCATGCCTCATATCCCTCTATTTCACTTCCTGTTTCAAAAGTGCTGATTTGGGGTATAAAGCTTTAAAAAAAAAAAAATTGATAAAATAAAAAGGAGAGATTCTACCGGCAGATTCTGCCGTGATGAAACGCTATATCATGGATTATCAAGGATTATTTCTGAAACAGTATGGAGCTCAAAGGCTTTCTCTCTTGCCGGTGAGTTCCTTTTTATATCCAGCTTCTTCACACACATGCTCTCCAGTACAGGTTAGCTCTGAGTGTTAGCGATGCTAATGTAAACACCGACCATATTACGTCCAAAACAGTCGGGCATTGTTTCTGATAGCAACTTTCTGATAGTGCCGTGGGTCCACATTTCCGATATTACGTCATATCGGACACAAATCTGGATCAGCTCCGTTGTAGCCCCGTTTTTAGAGATTTGGGTACGGAGGAAAAGAGAGAGGGTTTTATTTTTATGTATAAAAGACAAGTGCATTTTGCATGATAGGTCCCCTTTAAGTTATACATGTAAAACTCTAGTATTTACCAGTCACAATTCCCCCTGATCTGCGTTCTCAGGATCAGCATTTTTGTCCAAAGTCATACCTGAAGATGAAAGTCTTATCCCGCCACACATCTTGAATCATAGAAACAGGGCATGATTTCCCTTGTTTTCAATTATTTTTTGATGAATTTCTAGATAACTACGTGGCTGCCTGAAGCCTTAGCTATGAGCATGGCACTGTGTTTACAAATGTCTGCCTGTGAACTCTGTCAGGGGCCTTTAGTCTGACAGATGGAGAATCTCTAAGCACACTGTCACTGTGTCATTCTGTCGCAGCAATGAGGTTTTAAGACAGGCCGACTTTCAGCAGCCTGGGTATTTTTGGAACAAACAATCAAACAGGATCAGAGAGGGTGTGCTGCAGCTCAGAGCTTCACACTTTTCCACATGTTGTTCATTCACTTATTAGTCGTGCATGCAGTAAGAGAATGCATAAACTCACAGGACGGTGATGTTTTCTATCTGAATGCAGAGTCTTGTTCTCATGTAAGCCTCAAACATCTAAGTAAATAAACAGATCAATGGGATATTCTTTTTTTTGTTGAGAAATCGACACTGCAGGCTCTCACTGCAGTATTTTCCCCTTCCAGAGCTTTCTCGTTATTCTTAAATGCATCACTAATGAACTCATCGATAAAATCTTAGAGCAGAGAATAATGACTCTCTATATGTCAGTGCTGAGTATCTGCCGCTGTGGTTCACAGGTTTTCACACTTTGAATTTCAAAACCCCTCTGGGGTTCCAAACTATTAGAAAATGGCTTTCATTTGTTCGCTGCTCCTGCTGCGGCTGGAAATAAGTTCATACTCAAAGTAATAGACCAAAGTTATTATAGACAATATCAGGAATAGTTCTTGAATACATATATATAATGATTACTCTGACTCAGGTTTCAACTGACTATTTTGTTTGAGCTCTCAAGATCTTGGGAATCAATGTTCTCCATCATGAATAAACTGTAAAATCCACAGAATAAAAATGTTGAGTTATGTGTCCTAAAATACACATTTGTTTTTTCTTGTAAGACGATGCATTCTGTTTTATCTCAACATTTAAGCAAACCTTAAATACAAAATAAGTCCACATTTGAAGGATAATACCACCCTTCTGCAAATCATTGGCCATATCAATGTATTTAATACATTGATATTACTCGCATATATGTCCATTAGGTGTTAGCTTAGCTTAGCTTAGCTTAGCTCAGCTCAAGGCCTATAAACAGGGGGGCACGGCTAACTTTGCTTTGTCTCATTTTCAAAAAATATTCTATGTGTGTTTTTCCTATCCTAGCCTACTATCACATTTCTCATGACAGGAAGTTCACAAGTTTAAAAAATCCTTTCCACATTCATTTGAGATTTTGCACCCACACATGCACACTGACTCATGTATAGTAGTTTCCCTATGACTCTCTTAGTGATCATACAAGGAAAGTGGGAGAAAAATAAAGAGGACAGAATAAGAGCTCATCCTCCTTAGTAATTTACTCATAAGAGAGAGAAGCATGATGTGTGTAAGAGTTCATTTCTAGGCAGCAATACCCCACAATGAAGGAGTGAGTCTCTACTCCATCACATAAGTGCTGTGAGAACTCTCATGACAAAGGAGTGGTGGAGAAAATGAATTTGTGCTCTGATAGCAATGCGTAGGAAAAACCTTATGACTGGATCTTCCCTCGGTGTGCTAAACGTCATCTTTAATGAGTTTCTATTTCTGGAATGTATTCATTCTCATGTATGAACATATCTTCTAGGTGATCTGGTATCCCGGGCCATGCACCACCTGCAGCCCCTGCACATCAAGAACTCCAGCAACGGGACCCCGGTCCACCAGAAGACCCCCAACACCACGGTGCACTGGGAGCCCGAGGCCCTCTACACCCTGTGTTACTTCATGCACTGCCCACAGATGGAGTGGGAGAACCCCAACGTGGAGCCCTCCAAAGTCTCCTTACAGACCGAGAGGTGAGTCCAACAGAAACCACAAGTTTAGGTTTGGTCTAAAACCAGGAACAGATTGCCAGAAAACTTGTTTGCAGTGGACCAAGAATCCATATCTAAGTCCAAGTAAATAATGTAGTGTTGGATTGGTTTTGGACATGCTACCAGAGGAAACTTCTGATCTATCTATATATATATATATATATATATATATATATATATATATCACACAATGCCATGTACAGTAGGTCTGGCTACCAATGTTGACACTGAAGTGGCTGTTTAATTTGTTGAGATAAACATCATTTTCCATTCTTTGTCGCCTACAAAATTATATTTTCATGTAACTCAACTGCAAAATCATTCAAGTCTTTCATATATGTGGTTGTTAAACCTCGTAAGAGAAATAAATGCATCCAGACTACTTGGTATTGTTCAGACAAAACAACTACAAGGTTTATTAAAAGTCCCCTCAAGGATCATTTGAACCCTTCTAAAACATTTACCCATGTTGGCTGTGATTTTTATGAGTCGTTTAAAATGGGACAAGCCACAGCATACACCAAAGTTTCCCAAAGAGCCAAAAAAAGAGCCATATTGATCCATTACATTGTGTCAATTAGCTAACTTGTACAATATGATATATTATGCTTTGCCTCCTCTCATCAGGCAATAAATCAAGCAGTAAGATGATTTATATCTGTGAGAAATGTGTGTGTAAGTCGAAATCCAATCTCCCGAAACATCCATCACCAACACACTCTACACACTGTAAAAGCTCTCCGTCTTGATAGGTAAACACATATATCCTTTCAACCATATTGCCTCTGTCAGTGAGAGCCGCTCCTGAGCTAGATTAATTTCAACTGGACTAAAAGGTTAGTACAGATATTTAGACTGTATAAGATGCTGCGTGGGCTGGTGACACTCCCCGATCAGATTGATGGGAACGGGACTTCACTGGGATGGACAGAATTTTCCATCAATCCGAGGAGATAAAAACTCCTTCCTGACGACCCTGGGGAGCAGTGGGAATGTCAGGCGGAGTGACATGTCAGCAGGCTCTCGGTCCCCGGAGAGAAAACTCTATTTAGCATTCTGCTGAAAGGTTGAAGCCGAGTAAAAAGTGGAATAAGAGTGAGGGGGAATATGATTATGTGAGTTAGGGTTTGTTATTCTCTTTTTAATACCATATTTTCTTGGAATTTCGACCACTGAAAGCACAATATAGAATAGTATAACATTTTAGGTCATTTCAGACAAGGCCTAGATGTATGTTTGCCATGCATTACTATTTATTTATAGTGGAAATGTGTTCTTCATCATTCAGGAAATTGTTTGATGGTTAATTTCCCTTTGGCTTCATGATGCTTGAAAGGTGGGAGGATGTTTTTCACTTCTACCCTTGATGAAATATCCAAGAAATGCCAGTGCTCATGCTAGTACTAATGGGGATTCTCATAATGACATGAAGCTTGAAATATGCCTTTGTAGGGGAGATAAATTGCTAAAAATATTTGTATTACTCCAATTGTTTTACATTGTAAGAAAGGTGAAGAATCTAGATGAATTTTAAACAGCAATTGAGCTGCAGGAGATTTAAGGTAGTGATATAATCTGTATTTTGGCCCAGACGTTTGCTTCCAAGGAGGGATTTCTGCACTGGCAGCTCTGGGTGTTGGTTGTCACTGCAGGCCTGCCGTCTGAATCATTGGATGAAATTCCCCTCCCTCTTTTTCAACAGCCAGATATGTCTTTTTGGGGAGGCAAACATCAGTTAAAGCATAAGCTCTGAGCAAAGGGAGGAGGTCTGCACATTAGTCAGCCAACTACTAAACACCAGCAGAGACCTTTCTTTTTTTAAAACCCTTGCCAGAGTTCACATTTCCTGGCAGACTGTAGGTGTAGAGACGAGGATAGCTTTGGTGGTGGAATCTGATTCACACAAAAGTCAAACACAGTGTGTCAATATATAAAAGCTGCTGCCTTGATTGTGCTCACAGTAAACCACAGAAGTATGTGCTTCTGTTCAAGAAATGTTAGAAATTGTAGTTGCCAAAGGGTCATGAAGGAATAACTTTACAGGGACCTTTACTGATGGGTTCCTAATATAATTGAACTGACTGTGAACATGAGATTGGACAATTTAATTTAAGATTTGTAAGGTTTCCTAATGTGCATCTGCTTCGTGGTTTTAAAAGCCCTAAAGGAACATTAGTCTTATTACATTTAAACTGAGATCTGGTGAGTCAGAGTTACTCTTCATTTCATTTCAAACCTTTCTTTAACCAGGTAGGTCCCATTGAGATCATTGATCTCTTTTTCAAGGGAGACCTGCAGCAAGTAGGTTACACATGAAACATAAAACAACATAAAACAATAAGGGACGTCATACATCATATTTACAGGGCTACATTTACATACCTATCCGGGCAATAGAGACCATGTACGCAGGAACAAGGGCCAGGGTGGTGACCCCAGATGGCAACAGCGAGGAGTTTGACATCCTGGCTGGGGTAATGCAAGGGGACACCCTGGCCCCCTTCCTCTTCATCATGGTCCTGGATTACGCGCTCAGGAAGGCCATCAGTGGACGAGAGCAGGATCTCGGCTTCACTCTAACACCAAGGAGGTCGAGACGACACCCCACAGTAGTCCTGACAGACCTGGACTATGCGGACGACATCAGCCTGCTCTCCGACAGCGTGGAGCAAGCACAGGAACTCCTGAACAGAGTGGAGTCAGAGTGTGCCAAGGTTGGCCTGAGGCTAAACGCCAAGAAAACTGAGGTTTTCACCTATAACATCTTACCGGAACATCCACCTCTGACAACAACAGAAGGCACTAAAGAAGTCAAGGACTTCAAGTACCTGGGCTCATGGGTCAACTCAACCGAGCAAGATCTTAAGGTGAGGAAGGCACTTACATGGAGGGCCCTGAACGGCATGACCAGTGTATGGAACTCCAACCTCCCCCGTCAAATCAAACTCAGCTTCTTCTATGCAACGGTAGAGTCTGTTTCTCCTCTATGGCAGTGAATGCTGGACCCTGAAGCCAACCCTGCAAAAGTCTCTAGACGGATGCTACACCAGAATGTTGCGAGCAGTATTTAACATCAGCATGAGTGTACATTTAACCAACTACATCCTGTACGAGGGAATACCAAGGGTGAGCGAGACAATTGCAGCCAGGAGAATGAGACTAGCAGGACATTGCCAAAGGCATCAAGAGCTGTCAGCCGGCAAATTGGTGCTGGGGGAACCAACACACGGGCATCGGTCACGAGGATGTCCCGCACAAACATACGTGGACGTACTCAAGAACGACGCAGGAGCACAAAGTACCAATGAACTGGCCAGATGTATGGAGAACCGGGATGACTGGAAGCGACGATGGAGGGCTCGTCTGAGGACGACCTAGAGAGAGAGAGAGAGATCGACATTTACAAGTACCAACAGTATTTCACCTATCTGAGCTTTAAAAACATGCAATATCAAATCAAGTTTTATTTATATAGCACATTTTTTAAACGATTTTTGGTCGAGCCAAAGTGCTGTACATACAATAAAAACACTTTACAATAAAAACACTTTACAACAAATACAACAGCACAAATAAAAAATCACACACAGGGAAATGTCAGGAGTCGCAATAGAACCAAATTGCTCAGTTTCAATTCTTTTTGAAGACTGTTCCAAGCAAGAGGAGCTGTGCACATAAAAGCTTTCGTACCTAAGTCAGTCCTTGCACTTGGCACATGTAACAAGACCACAGGCAATAGCTACCTGCAACTCTCTGTGTGATCAGAGAGCAGACATAAGATGGGAGTTTACCAAACATGGCTTTATATATGAACATGTACCAATGACTGAGCCCCGTACAGTAAGTGAAGCCAAACCTGCCCTGGCATACAGCTGCACTATAATGAATGTTCCCTGCAAACTACTGTAAGTGCATGTGCTTCTAAATGTATCCTGAATAGTTGAGTTCACAGGGTCAGAGTAATAATGGTTGAGTACAAAAAGGAACAATGTCAAGCTAGTGAAAGTGTTCTTTTTATCTATATACAACTTGCTTTAATAATAGGGACTTCCAAAGGCCTTTATAAGCCATATATACCAAAGACGTTCCTTTTGTCATCACTTCACTTATACAGATGTAAAGGATTGACTGAAGGTACACTGCCAGCAGATGGACTTCAATAACTCAGATCTATGAACTCCATCAAGTCCAGTAAAACAGTTTGTTGTCTTTGTTTTGTTAAAGAAAACGTATGTTCTCATGGATTGTGGGGGCGGATTTTGTCTACCTTTTGATAAGGATAGCTATTTCATAATGCTAAGTTAACTGATTAATAGTGATGAACTGACGTTAAATGTCTGATGAATGACTGACCTGAATGTCACTGCTGTTGCTCTGTGGGGGGAAAAGATGAATATCAGACAGAACAAATAAAGAGAGAAAAAGATGAGGTGATTTGCGACACACACACATTCTGGAAGTAAATTATGAAATAAGGACATGTCAGCCAGGCAAGACCCATTACTGATTTTGATTAAAGAAGGTAATAACGAGGTTGAGGGCGGTTGCAGCATCCATATCTCTTTCTCTTCTGGACGTGGTGAGTTATTATAGTAAGTAACAGATAAATCCCTTTATCTCAATAGTTTAAAGTAATTTTTTGTATCCTTAAATCCAGTTTTATTTCTCATTTTCCATCAGATGCATAAAAGGCTTATCTGTGATGCACAAGCAAAGAATGTATGTAAGATTTGCACATTTGAACACACTTTTGTTTCCCCCTCAGGCCGTTCCTGGTGCTGCCTCCCCTGATGGAGTGGATCCGGGTGGCGGTCGCTCACACGGAGCATCGAAGAAGCTTCTCTGTGGACAGCGACGATGTGAGGCAGGCCGCCAGGCTGCTGCTGCCCGGAGTTGACTGTGAACCCAGACAAATAAAGTAAGAATATTATGCTGTCTGGAGCTAGACTTTAACACCACACACAGACACTCAAAGCACCAGACACTTTTTACGCTGCTATGGACAGTCTTCGACTAATGCACATTTCTCAAAGTTATTGAAGTGACTGTTATTTTGTATATATTGATGGTTGTGCTTTTATTTATGTCTAAATATCTATACATGTGTCTGTAGATTGTGTATATATATAGGTATATACATATTTGTATATATCTTTGTTATATTCGGGATTGTGGAAAACGGTATTTCGATCTCTCTGTCTGTACCATAGGTCTGTACACACAAACTGAAAGATTGACAATAAAGTTGAGTTTGAGTTTGACTAAAACCTAGGCAATAGAGCAGGCAGGCAGCTGATTGGCTGTAAGCTCTGGGAGCAGGAAGGACAAACAAGGCAGATCGTGATCGTGACTCTGGGATAAATCTTCTCTCTGCATGTTTGTCTCTCCTCCTTTTCTCCTTCACACGGCCCAGCAGTCACAAAGCCTTGCACAATGTTTGTCGGTGACGTTGTTTCTGTGTCAGTGGGTTAAGAGTCAAATGTCAAATACTCACCAAGAAATAATAAATGAAACGGTTAGAGGTGTGAATTGCCAATTAACATCACTTTACATATGTCAGGTATAATTGTCTCGTAACATTTGACAAACATGATGAAACGGCTCCTCTGTGACCCAGTGGCAACATCAGCAGTGACAGCTGCTCACAGCTCGGATTAAGAGGCTTCAGGGGAGACAGGAACGAGTCATGAGTCATAGCAAAAGCCTTTCCTGGAGAAAAGCTACTTTAGGAATGAAGGGAAGTAGATAGATATAAGAACATTTGCAAAGAGCTCAATACTTAAATTATACTCAAACATCCCAGTGCAGTTATTATTATAAGTCCTGTTTCTGTCTCTTCACCGAGTGACCTTTTTGTTGATTGTTGTAATTTCTCCATTTGTTTAGTGCCTGTATTCGGTGCAAGTGTGTCTGCTTTAAAGCCTTGCCTTTGTAAAAGTAGAATTCTAATGGGAATAATAAATGTTTAAAGCATCAGTTGACCTAAACACAATTTCTCATGTTTTTCTAACAGAGTCTGGCCAGGGCTGGAAGAAGTACATACATATTTTACTACCACAGTGTAGAAGAACTTTGTTACAAGTAAAAGTCCTGCATTCAGAAGCAAGTACTTAGCAAAAGTATGAAAGTATTTGCATCAAAATATACCTAAATCACTAAAGATAAAAGCATATTAAGTTTATTTAATGATATATTGATTGCACGGCAAACTACTGCTGTGCAAAAAGTGTTTAAACTTAAAAAGATGAGGTTTAGCTACAAGTGTTCCCAGTCACTCACAGTCATTTTTCCTCTGCAGAGCGGAGGATTGTTTCTGTGCCACCAGGAAGCTGGACGCCGCCTCCACAGAGGCCAAGTTCCTGCAGGACCTGGGCTTCAGGATGCTCAACTGCGGACGGACGGACCTGGTGAAGCAGGCCGTGAACCTGCTGGGTCCGGATGGCCTCAACAGCATGAGCGAACAGGTCGGGAACACTTAACAACACAGAGCTACATCATTAACATCACACACCTACACAGCAGATTTTTAAGTATTACCTGGCCGTCCATCCCAGCGCAAACAGATGCTTGGCTCATGCAATGTTCTAAAGGTGTATGGCATGATACAACACACAAATACAACATCTGCATATTTGCTAAAGTCATAATTCGTCATTACTCAGTGAAGATAAAACCTGCTTAATATCCTAACTATGAACTAAACCCAACATTTAAATGAGTTTCAGCATTTCTAACGTCCATTAAAGAAACTCCATAAATACATAATGAGAAGGGCACATTTTGAAAGTGAAAATCTTGCTAAGGCATAATGCCCTAATGCAAAATGTTGATTTGGTTTGCTCCATCATTAAAAACCCAAAGATAGTTTGTTTATCACCACAAAAAAGCAGCAAATGCTCACAATTAAAATTCTGCAAGTAATCATCATTTGGCAGTTTTGCATTTAAAATAACATAAGATTAATGGTTTAATCGTAAAATAGTCTTTCACGATTACTAACAGCTTGCGGTATGAATCAAACATGAAATACAGAGGTTTTTCACAAACACACAAAGACTTATAGTTGTTAAATCCTGACTGTTTATCCAAAAAAATGGAGAGGAAAGGCCTGCTCTAATGGTCCATGTGTACCTGATACCAGAGGTGGGAGTAAGTCCTACATGTGCAAGTCATGAGCAAGTCTCAAGTCTTAACCTACAAGTCTCTAGCAAGTCCCAAGTCACTGTGGTGAGAGTCAAGCAAGTCAAGTCATTGCAATGCTCAGGTCAAGCAAGTCACAAGTCAAGTCATACGAAATTCTGATGAATAACCCCAGTTTCCGCATTTAAATCAGTTAAAGGAGACATGTCATGCTTTTCCGGTTATTACCCGTCCCCTTGTGTGTTATGAAGGTTTTTATGCATGTAAATGGGCTGCAGAGTCAAAACCCTCAAAGTGCACCCTGTTGGGAGTAAAGCTCTAACACAGAAAATACCTCCCCAAAACGCCTCGTTGGAACTATTTGACCTTCTTCCATGTTCTTCCTGGACATTGTGACGTGTGAACACCCAGTAGCCACGCCCATAACTATGACGCGAAACGGTCATGCGGTAGCCGGAACCAAATGGGCCAATCCGTGGAGCCGTTACATTACGTCCGCGGAGCCGTTACGTTAAGACCCCGCTGATTGGTCCAAATTGACCAATCCACGACTTCCTCACACACTCACTCAGTGCAGGCAGCTCTGCTGATTTCTCCTCCCTGGCTGCAGGCTGATAACAGACAGTTGGGATCGCGGCGAAATTCTCTCTGCAGAGTGCAGACCCATTCTCACAGCGTTTATCAACCTTTTTCTTACTCAATATCAAGCCACACTTATTGTTTTTACTTCGGCTGTGACTTTGTGTGTGCTCAGGGTGAGTTTGGCTGTGTTTCGCTGTGTATCGCTAAACAAGGAAACAACACCTCCACGGAGCTCAGCGCGATTCACAACGTCCCAACTGGTATATATACAGTCTATGGTCCCGACCAGAGCCCTAGAGAGATAAGAGTTACGACACTCCCATAGACCTCCGTTGTAAAAAATGGCGGCGCCTACTTCCGGGGTATGGACATCAAAATAGTTCAAAATATTGTCATTTGGGCGTTGAACCTCATTCACTTACATTACGGCGCGTCGATTAGTTCCAGAGGTAAGTTGCTGAAATATCGAACTCTTTTGAATTGTCAACTGTCTATATTGTATCAGAGGCCCTTTATGATGCTTATACTGGTCTTCATTTGTATATGCACAGCGTAATTATCTATATTTTATCTTGGTTGTTACAACCAATTTAGCTAGCATTGCCTGCTAGTTAGCTAGCGCGACTTCGTCAGCTTTGAAGGTAAGATTTCATGCAATAATGCAATTACAGCTGAAAAAGTACTTGGGTGTGTGTGTTTTTTAAATATATATATTTACCATTCAATAACGCAATCGCTGCTGTCTGTCTGTCCCATAGAAGAACATGACAGCGCAGCGCAACTATACTACGGACGTGACTGCCCTGGCAGTGACAGCAACATAGCCTGCTTGTGCTACCACACTTTCCCCTCAAAATATCGTTAAATAACGAAACTTATAAATAGTGCCAATCCATACAAAGTGTAACCACATCATGTAAATATGAAAGCAATCTTTAAAAAATAACAGCGTTGGTTTAATCTATGACTATTTTGACCATGTTTGTGCTGTTTTTGCCATAGAGAAGCATTGCAACGGAAGTGCGTTTTGAACTATCCCGGCATACATAAACCACGTGACCGGCTGGCGGTGACATCAAAGAGTGTCGTAACTCTTATCTCTCTAGGGCTCTGGTCCTGACCAATCGGAGCACACTGAGCTGCAGCGAGCCGTTTAGTGGAGAAAGTGAATACTGCTGAATACACATACTTTAAAGAGATGCTGTATGCGAAACCAATGTGAGTTTGGAAAATTGCACAGTATTTTTCTATTTTAGTATACCTCAACAATGGAATTATGATCAGTTGAAATGGCTATGACACCTCTCCTTTAAAATATTGTGGTTATGAAAAGTTTAGTTTTTATTTTCAACATAAACAGCAATGGAGAGTGGGGCGCTGAAATGATAAGTTCTAAAAGTGCTCTAAAGTGATAACAGGAGTACAACACACATATTTTACATCAACATGGGGCGGTGTTGGCGAAGTCCATAGGGACTTGGCTTGGCAACTGGAAGGTCATCAGTTCAAGTCCCGGCAAGACCAAGTGCTACCGAGGTGTCCCTGAGCAAGGCACCGTTCCCTACACTGCTCCCCGGGCGCCGTTCAAAATGGCAGCCCACGGCTCCTAACACTAGGATGGGTCAAATGCAGAGAAACAATTTCCCTACGGGGATTAATAAAGTATATCAAAAAACATGTTAAGCCTCCTGCCCTGGCTCCCCTTCAGCAGGGTCACAGCATTTCTCCATGGTCTGTCTAAGGTGCTCCCATATGACACTGTCTCTTTGTTTTCCTAACTGTGTCTGTGCACAAATACATATTGCATCAAAGCCAATAGTGTGTGTGTGTGTGTGTGTGTGTGTGTGTGTGTGTGTGTGTGTGTGTGTGTGTGTGTGTGTGTGTGTGTGTGTGTGTGTGTGTGTGTGTGTGTGTGTGTGTGTGTGTGTGTGTGTGTGTGTGTGTGTGTGTGTGTGTGTGTGTGTGTGTGTGTGTGTGTGTGTGTGTGTGTGTGTGTGTGTGTGTGTGTGTGTGTGTGTGTGTGTGTGTGTGTGTGTGTGTGTGTGTGTGTGTGTGTGATTAAACGAAAACGAATTTCTTTCATTTGGGAACACCCACATATGGAGTTGGCCAGATGTGTGTAAATTACTGTTCATGGTAATGCCGTTGTCGGACACACACAAACACACCGAACACACACAGAGCTGAGCAGAGCACAAACACACACACATATCATGCGCCTTAGCGACCGGACATCTCCTTCATAAAACGAGTAATAGGGGGACTAATCGGGCAGTTCGATGTGTGTGTGGTTAAAAAGTAGCAGCCAGGCGGAGTTACACTGCCTCCTGGTGCTGTAGCGATTTCATGAAGTGAATGAGAGTCCGAGTTCGAAATATATCTAAAATAATGTATGGACTGCCATTTCCCAACATAAACATAACAGTCTGCAATGAAACGGCTGTCTCCTGTGTGCTCCACTTCCTACTTGGCGCTCCAGTAACTTTCTCGTGCGAACGAGATACAGTATCTTTTTTCATTGCCCTTTAGGGGCTCCGTACAATACAAAAACAAATGCAAATATTTAATTTTAAAAAGTAAAGTCCTTTCGAGTCATCTGTCTCAAGTCTCAAGTCGCGAATACCAAGTCAGAGTCAAGTCAAGTCTTTTATCAATGTTAGTCAAGCAAGTCTCAAGTCCAAAAATATGCGACTCTTCTGACTCGAGTCAAGTCATGTGACTCGAGTCCCCCACCTCTGCCTGATACTGCAACACTTTTCCCAGACTGGGTTTAATTCCACCTTCGGGTCGATATTCAGTCTTACTGCATTCACGTGTTAATGGCATTTGGGATTGTCTACCTAATGGAAATATTGGTTATTCCTCGGGCTGTTAAGTGGAAGCTTATAGTGCAATCTGATTTTCTGTGGTGAGAAAGCCATTGCTTGTTTGAGTTCATTTAAGAAGTTCTTTCTACTCAGATACCCATATAAAGAATGGATGTGTGGACGGAGGCCCTTACCTCCATTTCGGTCACTCGGCAGGTTGATTCATTTCACATTCAGTCAGATTGTTTCACTGTTTTCAGTATTAACAGGTCCTTTTGAGTTTAACAAGTTGTTTTGACACTTTTCTCCCTGTAGTGAATCAAAAACGTGTATGTCACTGTGGTGACATACACGTTTTTGATTCACTTGTAAAAACCCAATAAATGGTGCAGTGGGCCAGGGAGCATTACATGGCCAATAAAGTAAAAGCTGTATTCTGTCATCACGGCTGAGAGGCATTTGAACTCTTCACAATGATCACCAGGGTCTGCCAAACATATCGCCCTTTAGCTGTCTGCTGATTAAGTGGATCGGCGTCCAGGAAATATTTAAGAATGAATCACCACAAAGGGATACCAGTCTTAAAGTGCTTCGCCGTGTTATGAGCGAGTCGTAAAAGGCCTTTGTTGAACATAATGGCCCAGATTTGGCTTATGATTGAAGGCTGTTTAATGGAAGCTTGCCCACTTTAAAACCGGTTTTGTTTCAGACCAGTACATCTGATAAATGGGTAAAACTCACCACCTGCCTTTTTATAGAGAATTATTTTGTTATGTTTCACTTTGCAATAACACTTAAATGAGCCTTCACATAATGTCAGGCTCAAGCAGGTGTTAGGCATCGCCTTCACTTTGGATCCAGCCCTTTATATTCATGGTACTCTGCCCGATAATTTGACAGATAGAAATGAGATTTCCTTACTGAGAACTCTACCTATTATTGCAAATGTATAACAGTTTAATGTCGGAAGACGCAGCCCCCAAGCATAAAGCAATGGAGAGACAGGGTAGAAAACGTTATACAATAAAAGGATTACAGCAGGATTAAAGATAGAAACAGATAGTGCTGAAAGATGGTCCCCATTAATACCAGAACTCTGGTCACACCTCTTTATTAATTATTCTATTATTAATTTGATTAGAATTGTTCTATTCTCTTATTTAGTTCACTGTATTCATATTATAAATGGGTTATTGTTAGGATAATATTGTGGTCAATGCATTGATGGTAAGAGAAGGGCAGTTTTTGAATTGTGCTTGTATTTGATAGAAAATCATTATTACCAATGAGGTAGTACAGTATGTCCTAATAATGTACAGAATAGACATGCATTGATGTATCTAGGATACAACAAGTTTAATTGTACAAGCATCTCCTCTTGTAGTTTGCACTATGTCTGTAACAAATAAAAAAGATCTTAATGCACTGTGTGCATATGGTGGAATTTAGAAATATAAAATATGATGTTAGGAGTGCAGCTTCTAAAATGTATTAGATCCACCAACAACTTCTACTGTACATAATTTCTGACATATTGCAAGGTAATTGGCATGGATGTAAGGAATGAATACCGGGCATATTTTAGTGTGATTTTTAGTCTTGGGGCTGATTAGTATCCAGCAGTGAACATGCACATATGGCACTTCAAAGGTTCTCTTTAAAAACTATAGAGAACATTAAGAGAGATTTGTCCTGGTTACCTATAGAACTAACAAGCACAGCCGTTGGTGCGCTGCTAAAATATCTGCTAATAGTCTCTAAAGGGCTTCATGCTGAAATCCACATGTTTCATGTTCTAGTAAAGAGAAAAGACCAAAGACTCATGTGTGTTTGTTAAGTGTGATAATGAATCAACATGCAAATAATTAGCTGTTCATCCATAAAAAGAGCACTTGAACACAGTCATTTGGGAATGAACAGACAAAAAGCAAACAACCTTTTTCACAGAGAGAACATGTTATAAAACACTATATTTAGTTTGTTTTATATCTGCCAGTGTAAGTAGTTATTGTAGTTATTGTAATTATACTATAACGAAGTCTGTGGTCATTTTTTATTGGACGATAATTTCACCACGTCATAGTTACATTTTTTTTTCTCCAAAAAAGTTAAATATTCTGGAGCTGTTTTGGATCCATCTTGATTACTATTTATGTATATAATTAATCTAATTTATGATGATCCAAGCTCTGCTTAAATCTTCTGTTTTGGGCACTGTTATCCTCAATGAAGTCTTTGTGATTATGTGAAACACATTTACTTTTTTCAAATATATATCTTTCATAATATAACTTTTGTTTACAACTGAAACTAATTCCCTGGAAATCTCTATTTTAGATTTTTCAGATTTAAAGAATGGCTCAATAAAGCTTGTTTACTATTTGGAAATTAAATAAATTCAGTTTGTGATTGGCTGCAAACAATCTGAAAGACTCACCCTTCCTCTACAGAAGTACATTGTATAAATGAATCCCCCCCTCTCTCCCACAGGGGATGACCCCCCTCATGTACGCCTGTGTCCGTGGTGACGAGGCCATGGTTCAGATGCTGCTGGACGCCGGCGCCGACATCAACAGTGAGGTCAGTGCTCACCAGATGCCCTCAAAATGTCACATAAATTCCACATTTTTTGTTCCAAAATGTTCATTTACATTTGTTGTGAAAACGATGAACCCCCTTTGTGTTGCTCTCTCTCTCCCCCCTCTCTGTCTTCCCCCCCTTCCTGTCGGCATGCTCCCCCTTCTCCTGGCAGCTTATTACACCAAGTGCACCGATAACAATAAAGGATAGAGTGAAAATAGTGGTGCAGGAATGAGTCCAAAAACCCAGAAATGAGTCAGCATTTTACGACTTCCGGTTCCCATTCTCGAAGTCAACTAGTTTTTGAACGTGTTTTTGTTAGATGCATGAAATCAGGTCTGTGGTAAATACAAGCTAAAGAAATTTGTTTAGGTTTACTTTACACAACATAAAATGTCAGACAATACACGACAGGTGTATTAAAAACAGCGGATGCTAACAAGTGACTAAATGAGACTACTTAACAACATCACGCCAAACATTAGCCGCCTTTAGCTTAGGGGCCGCAACGTAAAGTTATGTGACCGTCATGTAGTTTCTTTATAGCCTTTATAACATTAGCAATTTACTTCAAGTGAATGCATTGACTCTTAAAAAACTATAAATTGGTGTTAACATGTGGAGATTATCCTGCTGAACGATATGTGTAAGGATAATAAATAAATGTGTGTTTGCCACAAAGCTTATTTTCTGCAATATTCTGAAATGCAATGGAAAAATATCATTGCATTGTCATAACGGAGCCCTTGCGATGTTAACTTCCAGGTCCTTACTGCACCACTCTATAATCCACTGATAGTCCCTCAGTGTACCAGTTACTTCATTCATTTAGTAGCTTTGAACCGCATCAATAATGCATTACTGCTGTACAAGTGTGTGCACTTAGTGTAACCTGCTACCACACGAAGCATGACATTCATTACACTTGTGTTGAGCTCTGAGCATTCAAAGTAACAGTCAGGCTTTGTTAATATACATCCTGATTCTGTCTCCATCTTTTTGTTTTGTTGTGATTTCTCCATTTGTTAAGTGGCTGTCTTCAGTGCAGATGTGCTGACTCTAAAGCAAAGCGCTACCTGAGTCTATCTCATGGAATAAATATTTTAAGAATCAGTTTAACTTAATTACAATCAACACATTTTTTCAAGGATGCTTAGCATGTGAAAGATTATTTTTGAAAGTCAATTTCAGTTGGAAAAGGTTTGCTATGTCTAGATGTGTTATAGTAAAGAGCATTGTTATTTTCTAAACATGCTTCATTTGGTGTTTAGAGCAAAATAGCTGTAACCTGTGATTGGTGCCAAAGGAAGTCATTTCCACATGTTGTGGGCTAAAAAGCCTAAAAGGATAACAAAAAAACTCCACCACAACACCAACATTTTCCACAGACTTTATTCTCATAAGGTTTTGTGGGGATTTAGAAAATAGTGGTGGTGGTAAAGAAAATCAGGTACGAGGTCACTGAGGTAAATTGGCGTAATACATTTTTTAAATCACCAATCACCTCAACTGTATCAAGGTGTTGACGGGATTCTTTAAACCTTGACATATAAAACAAAATGTCTCAATACGCCGCAGGGCAAGTGAGAAACATCTTTCTGATTGTAATTTGGTGAACTGAGCCCTTGAGTGAATGAAATTAAGTTGCATAACACTGATTGAGAATTCCACTATGTAAAACCTTTTGTTGAAATACTTCTCTAGAGTCATGATATTTTACAGTCTCGGTGTGGCGGCTCAATCCCCAGTTACATTTGAGTCGCCGAGAGGCTAAACTTGGCTTTAAACTGTGACGCGTATTCGAAAAGAAAGTCCATGTTGAAGCAATATAGTTTTAAGGATATTTAATAAACAAAATCAAAACATAGTAACTATGGACAAAACGGTCAACAGAAAAAATTACAGCACAAGTTCACCCTCTGTCATGTGCACTCCACATCAAACAGGTGACTTATAAACCAAACCACACCCATGTGACAATTACCGGAAGTGCTCAACAAGCAAATAAAGGTGACGTAAATAATAATAATAATACAAATAATGAACTTGAGCTAAGTAGTGTTATGGCACCTACACTCGGTTTTATCATAAACTAATTAATAATTCATCAGCGTGAATAAAACAACACTAACAGTCCCACTGTTGTTTAGCATCAGCGCTCTGATGAGATGTGACATTACATTAAACGTCTTTTGAAAATAGGCCGTCCTCCTGGCAACATTTAGGAATCATTTCTGCAATTCACTCTGTGAATTGAATGGCTGTTTTACTCCAATGCCGCTTTGTTCATGAGTCAGCACCGCCCGTCTCCACAGTGTTTTCGGTCTATGCCAATGTTGTGTTTTCTCTCCAGTTTCATTCCACTTTGAAATGAAACACTTCAGCTCGGCAGATAGTGGGGTCAGTGAGTTATAACTAGGAAAATATTCACTTAAGGGTTAGGATAGAGACGTAGAAGCTCAAGACTTTTCTGTAAAACTCAAAAGGGGAATTCTCCCTGTGCCACCCTGCCCTTCTTTGCTTACACTTCTCCTCCTGCACACACTGCTTCTCGCTCCCCCTCCCCCCCTCTATCTCCCACCCTGAGCTGTGAATGTTAATGGCTGTATATCTCTCTCCCTGAACTTCACCTATGACTTCCCAGGTGCCAAGCACAGTAAACAAGCACCCCTCAGTTTATCCTGAAACGCGCCAGGGGACGCCTCTCACTTTCGCCGTGTTACATGGACACGTGCCTGTTGTGCAGGTAGTGACAATTCTGACCTGTAACCCTTAACCTGTACCCCTGAAATCTGCACCAATATATAATGATGATTATAATTATGGTGCATCACATTAATAACAATATTCAATGCCATATATCCTTTCCATTTCCCATTCTTTATCCTATATCTGCAATAATTATGTGAAAGAGAAAAAGGCAAACTCTCCAAATTATTATATATATTTGTATTAATGTATGCTTTTATCATGTGTAGTCATCCAGCCCGCTGCTTTCACCAGAACTGATCTCAGTATTGGTCCAACAATACCTCCAGAGGCCAGCCTGATTTCAGTGTTTAGTTGTTTTCTTTGAATATATAATGCACTGCGTTGCATTCATTATTATATGAGCTGACACTTGCTGAAAGCCTGATGAGCAGCGTCACCCTCAGGATTTTTTTCAATTATTAATCAACACAGTTTTTTTGATAGAACAAGAAACCATGTTGCTCCTCTCTCAGCTCAGGCATGTCATCCCCAACAATAAGAAGCTGATGAGGGTAGGAGAGTGTTTGGTGTCCACAGTTCATCTCTAAATGAGCTGGTTTAGGTTTCCCATAGTTGAGGATTTCCCTGTTTTGCCAACATGAGTGTAACATAGCGTCTCTCCCTCCCTGCCCTCCCTCCTGGTTTGTTCCCCCTTCCCTGCCACAGTTGCTGCTGGATAACAGAGCGAATGTGGAGGGAGCCCTGCAGGATGGGGCGGAGAACTACACGGAGACCCCGCTTCAGCTGGCCTCTGCTGCAGGTACAAGCAGCTAATATGTTATATTTTTAGATTCCAGGCGTTTATATGACCCAAGTATTCTTGTTCTTGGCTTAAAGGATTAGTCATCACATGCTTAGCCCCCCAGAAGGCTTTCTCACTCTGCCTTAGTCATCTAATTAATTCATCACTTTCAATTACTATCTGAGAATCATGAATGCACTGAATTTGAACTGCTCCTCCTCATTGTTGTGTTGCTGTTCAGCCACTTCTGAAAGATCCTGCGACAGATATTTATATTCCGTCAAATGTATTGTTAATCTGACTGGATGTATCTGTCAAAGCAGAAGCAAATGCGCATTTGCACAAAAGTTTGACACCTGGGGGAGTGTATTTGCTGTCTCTCCAGATAGTTAGAAGAGATCCTTTTAAATATCATGCTAAAGCTAACAGCTAGTTAGTTTAGCTTAGCATAAAGACTGGACACTGAGGGAAACAGCTAGCCTGGCTTGTTCAAATGTAATAAAATAGACATACAAAAACTCACAAAGGAACACTTTAATGGGTTTAATTTGCACAAACTGAAGAAGTCTTGTCAAAGATGAGGTAGCCAGGCAACCAGTGGAAAATCCAGCGAAGAAATACTCTAGTAGGCTACATAAACACTTCTAACACTTTGAAAAGATGAATTCCCAATTTGTATTAACAGTTAAATAAAATGTTCAGTTTAGTGGTGCTTGAAGCATATTTCTTTCCTTTGGACAGAAACAGGCTGACTGCTTTCACCTGTTTCCTGTCTTGATGCTAAGCTAACAGGCTGCTAGCTGTAGCCACAAATCAACCTGACAGAAATAAACTGTTCCTTAAATACTTCACATACTGTATTTACCCAATGATTGTCTCTTTATTTAGAATAAAGCCTTCTGCGCTGCTGCTGTCCTATATAATTTATTCCTAATTGAAGTGTGTTCAACATAAATTAAACTTAACAAGTTGACATACAACAGTGAATCTTATTTTGACCTCACGAAAAGTGTAGGCAGCCGCGTTGCCACAGTAACAACTGATTCAAAACACACAGCCTCAGATAATGAACACTATTAACATCGTGCTCATTAGATAATAAATAATGCAGAAGAAATAAAGACCATAATTCCAGTGCACATTTAGATAATGAATAGCAATAAGTGAGACACAGAATAATTGTATTCAGGTTCAGACTCATCTTCTGCTGTTTTAATTTTTACTCTCACATGTACTTAACAAGGATATAAAAAGTTGAGTAAGCAATGCGAATATCAGTTGATTTTTAAATGAACATTGTCATGAATATTAAAAAGTCAAGATTACACATTATGCAAAATGTTATGAATACATGAATGAACATTTTAACGTTAAACGCTTTAAAATGAAATGAAATGCAGTGGTGTCAAAGTATAAAGTAGCGAAAAATTGAAATTATTTGATAGAGATATGTCAGAAATGTTCATAGGCTAGCTATAATACAATGTGGTAATGCACATAGTTCCGTTACAACACTGATCAACGTAAATGGTTGTAAAACATCAGATGTATGCTGTATTTTAGTGTATTCATGTTTCGCCTTGGTTAGGTAACTTTGAGCTGGTGAGTCTGCTTTTGGAGAGAGGGGCCGACCCGATGATCGGGACCATGTGTCGAAACGGCATCTCCTCCCTCCCGCTGGGCGACATGAACTCATTCAGCCTGGCAGCAGCACATGGCCACAGGTAATACGGGAAAACATACACACACACTTACAGTGCCAGTCAGCGGAGATGTGTCTATTACCACAGTATTGATCCATTTACACACTGTGCTCTGGTCCATCTGCCTCTCACAAAGTCGTGCAGATTATGAGAGGCCGATCCCTCGCTGTCAGACTCCAGCCGACGATAAGAGCTGCGGTCCATTCAGCAGCACTTATGGTGTCAGTTTGACATCATTCACCCACAGTGAGATAAAGCCTGCTAACATTCAAAGCAGTCAGAGCTGTCAGGAAGTGGAGTGGGTACCCAAAAACACAATACAGCATTATTAAGACAGTCAATTACAGTGTGGCAATCATTCTGCAGCAATGTGTCGTGAGTGCATTCAAACTTCATTAGAATTGGTTTGAGATGGTTGGGTGTAAAAGTGATCACATGACATGACGTTTTTATTTAAGGCAAAAAGAAATAGAAGAATTGGAAATGAGCCGTCAGGATTAAAAAATATAATTACCCTTTAAACTTCTTCAGAAATGTGACTCGTCTTACCTTAAATTAGATTAGAATATTGACATTCATTTATTCCGTGCTTTTATTAGAGTTAATTTGCCAGATTGGACCAAGACACGTTTGGCCAAAGTTCACATGAATCTGTACGATAAACTGGAATTTAAAAAGGAAGTTTTATCTAAATTAAACTATAATGTTTAAATAGATACATTAATAATTCATTAACATAAAGCTTAAATTGCTGATCTTCTAATGTATATAAGTGTATTTCCTTTAACTGTTGTGGACCTAGCCTGCATGACATAAAAATATAAGGACATTGCACAAAATTGTATTCGGTATGGCTGCTTTTTAAAGATTTGAGCTCGATCCCACAATTAGTTTTAGAGGTGTTATGTTTGGTGTCTTCATATTTTTGCCCATGTAATGTCGAACAATGGTCTAAACCAGAGAAGATACCGCTGCAGTATGCTTGAACTCCAGGGACATCAACAACATTTTATGAACAGCTTCAAAGTGAGGGCAGTGAGCCTCCCACCAACTTGTCATCAGTGTGATCAAACAATCTCAAGAACAAATCAAATCAAATCAAGTTTTATTTATATAGCACATTTATAAACTATTTTTGGTCGAGCCAAAGTGCTGTACATATAATAAAAATAGCCTACAGTAGAGACACTTTACAGCAAATACAACAGCACAGATTGTTCAGAATATCAGTATGAGAAAAACGACACCCTCTATCCTTAGACCCTCACATCGTACAAGGAAAAACTTCCAGAGAAAACCCACAGTTTAAGGGGAAAAAATGGGAGAAACCTCAAGGAGAGCAACAGAGGAGGGATCCCTCTCCCAGGACGGACAGACGTGCAATAGATGCCGTGTGTAAATCGAAGAGATAATACATTTTACAGCATAGGTAGTCCAAATGTTAGGAAATGCATGTGTCTGTAATAAGAAGATGAATCTACGAAGATGTCAACTACAATCCTGTGGGAGCCTTCAGGGAGGCAGCAAGACGAGACCCAGGCAGGACCGCAAAGACAGGTTTAGCCACGACCCGAAGTCCATGACTTAATCCAGAACTCAGGATAGAGGATCCAGGACCACAGCAAGAAGATCAGCCTCGACTCCGGATCCCGGCGTAGATATAGACACAAAACAAGAAAACATTTGGCTGGGTTAATCGGAAAAAGAGAACACACAGACACAGACAGACGGAAGAACAAGCACTCCCTTAGAATAGGTTGAGGGCAAAGGGTAGCAAGTAATTGAGTAAGAAACATAGGTGGAGAGGCACACTAAGGGAACAAGGTCCCCACTGGAGCCTTAGTTGGAAATTGATGAGAGATAGGGAGGTACGCTGTGTCTACGAATCGTAACACTCCCTGGCTTGTCTAAGCCACTCTACAAACCGTTTCCCTCTAATAAAACTCGAGAGGTTAGAGAGGGAAAAGGTCTTGGGTAAAAGTTATTCTTGATAAGAGAAGCCTAGAAGGCCAGAGAGAAAAAGTTAGTTTTAAGTGTTGATTTAAAAACCCCCAGGGTCTGGGCCGACCTCGCATGGAGGGGCAAAATATTTCAGAGCCTGGGGCCTGCTGCTGCGAATGCTCGGTACCCTCGGGTTTTGAGCCTGGTCTTAGGCACTATCAACAACAGCTGATCAGCCGACCTTAAGGCTCTGCCTGGGGTGTAGCGATGGAGGAGTTTGGCTACATAGACCGGAGCCAGCCCATTTAGGGCTTTGAAAACAAATAAAAGGATTTTAAAATCTATTCTGAACCGAACTGAAAGCCAGTGCAATGAAGACAGAATTGGGGTGATGTGGTCACGCTTTTTATGGCCAGTTAGAAGACGTGCAGCTGCATTCTGCACTAGCTGCAGGCGTCTAATTGAGGCCTGGTCCATACCCACATACAGAGCATTGCAGTTATCCAGTCTCGAGGTAACAAAGGCGTTAATAACCCTTTCTAGGTCTTTAAAAGATAAAAACGACTTGGTCTTAGCCAATAGTCGTATTTTTAAAAAACAAGATATGATGTCATGCTGATCTTTGCCCCCCCCCCCCCCTAACTAAAGCAGATGGTGCGGTGATGCATCCTCTGGCTTCAATCACACCGTATACGTTATGAGGAACATCATTCTGTTGCAGAAACAGCTCTAATGAATCTGCAGACTAAAACAAGTGTGCATTTGCGACATTTCCAGAGTTTGGGATTTTTTTTTTTACATGGGAGATCTTTGATTTCAGCTCTATATATTTCGGTTTTTTTATACTCTGTGTTTGTTGAATTAAGATTCCTTACAATACTGATTTCTCAAAAGAGAAAGAAATAAGAGAATTATCAAAAAACCTTATAATAGCTACTCTATGTCATTCCCAATCCACAATATAAAGAATTGTAACATTTAATTAATTAAGTAATGATAATAATAAATAATAAAAAAAATACTTATTTTTGTCTTACTGTACCTCTGGTTTCAACCTATTTGATCTTTTTTTATCTCTTAACCTGACCATAAAACTGAAATAATCTCTGTCTGGGTTCAATTTTTCTCCTCTTTTTCGTCTAGGAATGTATTTCGAAAGCTCCTGTCCCAGTCGGAGCAGGAAAAGGGCGACGTGCTGTCCCTGGAGGAGATCCTGGCCGAGAGTTCGGAGCCCGGGGAGAAGAGGTTGCCGCCGCAGGCCAACGGAGGAGGGACACTGCGAACAGGAAAGGCCAGACTGAGGGTCCTGAGAGAGGCCATGTACCATAGCGCAGAGCACGGCCATGTGGACATCACCATAGACATCCGCAGCTTAGGTCAGATTTACTAATACATGCTTCACTGGCACACATGCATGGCTGTCCCTCCAGCTGTCCTGGTGGTGTGCTCATGCGCTCAGCACTCACCAATACTCATCCAACCATCAAACAGTCGCAGGGCCTGGCTTTTTATATCCAAGGTGATAATAGAGTGGTTCAGTGATGATGTATTTTTCTTGGCTGACCCGTAAGTTAACGTCTCCCTCGACAAAAAGCGTTGGGATTTTTCCATTTGGTTTCAGAATATAGCAGTAAATAAGATCTGTGGCAAACACATCTTTATTAAACTTAGACAATTTGTTCAGCAAAAGAACCTCCGCATTTTAACAACACCTTTTTGATTTTTTTAAGTGTAGTCTTACAAGTAGAAGAAGCTACGGTAGGCTATAAACTAACAACATCATGGACAAATGACTTCACGTCACCACCGCTCAGCTAAAGGCGGCTAATGATCGTGATGCATGATGACGTTAAGTAGTTTCCTTAAGCTACTTGTTAGCAACCACTGTTTTTATGTCACATAATAGCTTCAGACACATAGTGGGCTGAACATGTTTTAAGCGTGTGTTTACCTCAGACCGTATTTCAGGCATCTAACCAAAAGCATTACATTTGTGAACCAGAAGTGGCAAAATGCTGACTCATTCCTGAGTTTTAGGACTCATTCCTGCACCACTCTATAGCTTGGATTAAAGGTGTAAAAAGGATTATTTACCCAAGTGTCCTCAAGCTCATTTTATACATGTGGCAATCGTCAGATTTCACCCCAACATTTTCCACTTCATTTTCACTGATGAGGCTGAGTAGGATTAATGACTAGTTTATCTGAGTTGACAAAACAGTCTCTTCATAAGAACCTTTTAGTTGCTTATTGGTTGGATAATTTTTCAGCAGATAGAGTTTCAACAATTTTCCTGAAATTATAGAAATGTTACATTTGTGAGATCTGGGAGAGGTTTTTAAATTCATGTGCACTTGTTGTTCTATTGTCCATTATAGCACAATCTTAGAGTCAGGCTTTATCTTGAGTTGTCTTCAGAATGTCTCCATTAGTTGTTTGTATTGAAGGTAGACTTCAGTGCCGCCTTTTTACAGAAAGTGTTAAAAATGCCTACTATCAGCGTAGCAGGTCGCTTATTGTTTGATGTGCGCATTGCCTCAGAGCTCTGTTGTTTCTAAAGAAGTTGGATCGTGTTGGACTTTGTTTGACTTCATGTAGGTGTATCAATTTGTTTATTGTTACACTACTGTTTGTTATGTTTGTAGTATCTAGTTCACCCAGGTGGAATCTTGTGCATGACGCTTTGAAAGACAAATGACTTGCCAGCTATAAATGTAAAGATTTAGTTAAAGGTCCCATGTCATGGCCATTTCTACTGATCATAATTCCATTGTTGAGGTCTACTAAAATAGATTTCTACTGTGCAATTTTCCAAACTCACATTGGTTTCTCATACAGCATCTCTGTATAGTATGTGTATTCACTCTCTGTCCTAAACGGCTTGTTGGAGCTCCTGCCCCCCCCGCCTCCCTGTGAGCCCAGTGGCCGTCTGCGAGACACAGCGAAACCCAGCCCGAAACCAGCCCGAGCACACAGACTCACAGCCTCGCCGCGTCCCGACGTCTCAGGCTGAGAAATCCGCGGAGCTGCAGCTGAGAAAAAAGATTGTGTGTGAGGAAGTCCGCGGATTGGTCCATTTGGAGCCGTTACATTACATTACTTCCAGTGGAGTTTTTATATGTGCAAAAGTGGTGGGGCACAAAAAACGTAGATGTCTATAGCTTCTGCAGTGAGGTTCATGGCTGGTGAGGCACTGGCACTGACTCTTCAGGTTTACAAATATTATATTTTGACCTAAATCAAAATATAATATTATTTTCAAAAGCTTTTTTTGTCTGATGCTTCAATTAATTTTAAACAGACAGTTCAACAAAAGGATACGCAAAAAATGTAATTTTATCATTTAAATATTGAATTGTTCTCTCTTAGTAAGATCCCATTTTCAATAAAATTGCAGTCTTACCTTGACTTGAAGATGAAGTCCATTTGCCTATCCTTCTGGACAAAAATCTCTATTACTTTTTTGTAAAAGTCCTCCTTATGTTCTTGTAGTTTCAAAAGTCTATCATAAATCTAATCTAATCAATAGATTTATGATTCGAAAATTATAAAAGTAGGGTAGACATGTGGATATTATCCGGCTGAACAAAACGTGCATTTATCTAACAGCTACGTTTCCCACAGATCTTATTTGGAGCTATTTTCTAAAATCCTATGGAGAAATCTCATTGCTTTTTTGTAGAGGGAAGCCATGCGCAGCTTACTTCCGGGTTTTAGGACTCCTCACTGCAGCTCTCTCGTCTCCTCTTCACACACCACACTTTTCGCGGCACACGTACTTACAGCCAATCAGCTCTGAATGATGTGAGATGACGTATGGCGGAGATGGCAGCTCAGTGCCCCTATGGTCATTATTTTTTTGCCACACACATTAAATAGGAAAATATTCTGAGCATGCGCAGTGTAGTTTTTACAGTCACCGTTCACTTAGACAGAGAGAGGGAGGGGCAGGATCGGGTTTTGTCCCACATGGCTCTAAACAGCTCAATAGGCACACACTGTAGACACTAATTAGAAGAACACAGACTAAAACAGCAATGTACAGACGAATCAGATGATTAAACATGATCTTAAAATATATTTTATATATATTTTAATTTCTTTTTTGCATTTTGTTGTAATCATTATTTGTAATACTTTCTGCTGACACTAGGTGGGGCTGTGCCCCACCTGCCCCTAATGACCAGTCGCCACTGATTACGTCACTATACCTACAGTAAATACGTCACTGTACCCAGGAAGAAAAAGATAAATCTCCAACGAGGCGTTCTGGGGCAGTATGGACAGGTATTTTGTGTTAGAGTTGTACTCGCTACAGGGTGTACTTTGAGGGTTTGTGACTCTGCAGACCGTTTACATGCAGAAAAAGCTACATAACACACAAGGGGACGGGTAATAACCAGAAAAGCATGACATGGGACCTTTAAGAAATACTCGATAAGAATGGAGATACAAATAGTTTCTTGGAGATCCTGGTAAGCTGAATTTGTTGCATTTGTATAGAAACAGGCGCAGGTGAATTCATAAAAGTTTATGACATACCCAAGACTGTCTTTATAGACCCCTGTGCAGGTCCTTGAGCAGAAAAGTAAACTGAGCTCTTGTACTATATTCTCCTATTTTCCTAAAGCAGTCCCACACTGTTTTCCGTGTTGACATGTTCATGTTGTGCAGCCAAAAACAACCGACAAAGGAACTCCTGTTCTTGCTGTCAGGAGCTCCCCATCATAATTTCTAGTGTGTAGCACATGTCTTTGTATGCAAACAGTTTTTTGTATAAGTGTACGTGTGTGTCCGCCTTCTGTGTGCAAGTCTGCCGCTTTATGTATTGAAGTGTTTTCAAGTCTTAACTGTTTCCTGTCTTTGTGCGAAGCTAAGCTAACCATCTTCTGGCTGTAGCTTCTAAATGGGCCTTGTGGTGGGATTGTTTTGTCAACTATTGTTTCCAAGCTCAAGAATGAACTTTAATTGAAATTGCTTGTTTTCTCGGACCAAAATCCTATCATCCAGAGATAACAAAACTATTGATATATAAAACGAAGCTGGACTCAGCTCGATAAATGATAACTCGCTAACAAAATGTGCTTTCTACTGCATTAATCTGCTCATTTCAGCAGATATGAAACACAAAGCCTCTTCTGTCATGCCATTAGTTATGTTAATCTCACATACACATTTACTCATCATACTGTAGCCATTCTTTTTACACTCCTAAATTACACAAGTGGTGTTTAGCATTCCCGCTGGAGCCTCTGATTTTCCACTAATTACCATGCGATCGCCCCTCAGTTCACTGATGGAAACATGGTCGGTGCCTCCCCTGAAACGCTCCGCTCTGCTCTGCTGTGTGTTCACTGTCGCTGCGTTGGTGTTCCCAGGTGTTCCCTGGACGCTGCACACCTGGCTGGAGTCCCTGCGTACCTGCTTCATGCAGCACCGCCGGCCGCTGATCCAGGGCCTGCTCAAAGACTTCAGCTGCATCCAGGAGGACGAGTACACCGAGGAGCTGATCACACTCGGCCTGCCCCTCATGTTCCAGATCCTCCGGACCAGCAAGGTGACCGTGGCTTTCTTTCATGTGCATGTCAACAAATTGTTACAGAAAACATCAGACTCATAAGACTGGGAATACAAACTGTCCTGCGTTCATGTGCTACAGTGACATTAAAGGTTTCCTATCATGCTATTTTTAGGCATATATTATGGGTCTCAGGTATATAAAAATATATATAGAAAACATGTCAATGTTGTGTTTTGCTCAAAATACCAAACAGATTGTGCATTTTAGACATCCCTCATACCCCTCTATTTCAGCCCTGTTAGAGAAGTGCTGATTCTGGGTCTAAAGCTTTAAAAAACAAAACGGATGCAGCTAAATGCTGCCATGATTAAACGCCACATCATGTTCAAAACCACATTAAGGATTATTTAAACAAAGACCATATTACTTCCAAAACACGTCGGGCATTGTTTCTGATAGCAACGTTTCTGATAGGGCCGCGGGCGTAAAGCCAGTCCACATTTCCGATATTATGTCAAATCTGGATCAGCTCCGTTGAACCCCCGTTTTTAGAGATTTGGGTATAAGGTATAAGAGAGAGGGTTTTGTTCTCTCACACTTTGTGAGTTCCCTGACACACCGGGGACACATATTTATGTATAAAAGACATCGAAAAGTGCATTTTGCATGATAGGAGACCTTTAACTCTCATATTAGCATATATTTAGTTGCACTCCAAACACATTAACATATTTTTACATATGCTCATGGAAAACTGTAACCAGTATAGTTTCTGTCCTCACTCGTGTTTGCAGAACGAGGTGATAAGCCAGCATCTGTCAGTCATCTTCACCCAGTGCTACGGACCCTTCCCCATCCCAAAGCTGACAGAGCTCAAGAGGAAGCAAACCTCGCGCTTGGGTAAGAGAGCGAGTTAAAAATAGTTTCTGTTCCTCGACGGCTTCTCCTGTGTTGATGAAGCTGACGGCCTGACAGCAGGGTTAGAGGTAAAGTGGCAACCTGAGAGATTCTTGTTATTCCGGGAAGAAAATGTCTCCAACTTTTGAAAAGGTCAGAGATCACTTGTTAATCACTTGCTAGGAGATGGGTTCCAATTTTCTTCTGTGACTTTGTTTTCCAGCTTTTGGAGCTGATTTTTATTTGAATTGCTTTTGTAATGCATCTCTTCAAAATGTCAAATATATACTGATCAAAATGTCACAAACTAATGATTCAAACGCATTATGTAACACAGATCATTTTTACCTCTGTTTAACAAATGCATCAATTTCTTCTTGGCATTTGATAAATCGCTTTAAAATAAGATTTTTTTCACAGTCTCCTTGTACCAAGTTTTAAAACCCATTCCCTTTGGTTGCATAATAAAAACCTCTGCAAGGTATTACAAAATCTCACTCTTTCTTGTGCCTGCTGGAGTCAGTAATGTTAGCATTTTTGTATGGGATTGCAGGCTGTCTGGAAACCTCACACATAAAATCCTATTTAACGTTAATGAAAATCATGTTTCAGCAGGTATTTGCATGTTCGTAATGACTTGATTTATCAGTCTGATCAGGTGTTGAAAGCTCCTTTTAAAGTAAGGAAGGTCATAGACATTTCCACATTTTATTTTGTTTTTAATTTCACATAATTAGAGCATGAGAAGTGACATGTAGCAGCACCACCACCTAGTGTTTGAATTATCAGTATTAAGATCATTTACAATAACGTTTGTTACTCAGAGAATCATGCCTTTGACAACTAATTAATTGATCAAGATGTTCAAGGTTACAATTAAAGAAGTGGCTCAGAGGAGCGGATTTAAATTAATCCGCCGGCCTTTTAGAATGCTAATGGTATGGAAATTGTTGTATTTGATAAAGCTGCCCTGATAGCTGAGTGATAAATCACCCTTGAAAGAATTAATGACCACATTAGCTTAATCTTCTGTTGTTTGCAGTTCTGCCTCTGTAGTTTAGCAGGCTTGAGTAATGAGACATCTTTGGTGTTTTTATTGGATCTTTTTGTCGTCTCCCTCAGACCCCCACTTCCTCAACAACAAGGACATGTCTGATGTGACTTTCCTGGTGGAGGGGAAACCATTTTATGCACATAAAGTGTTGCTGTTTACAGCTTCAGCCAGGTAAGGGCGATATAACTGTTTATTTCTATGTTATTATTTGTATTTCTTTCCTTACACAGCTGTACTACTTATTTCTTCTGTTTCATCCAGGTTCAAGTCGCTGCTCCAGAACCGACCAGCAGCAGAGAACACCTGCATCGAGATCAGCCACGTCAAGTACAATATTTTCCATGTAAGAAATGTGTTGTCATCTAAAAACAATGTAGGTACGTTGTGGTTTCGTTATAAAATGCAGTAAGTAAGGGCTGCAAATAAAGTCTTCCAGGATAGAAAGACCCAATGAAAACTGTAACAATCAAAATCCTGCCATAGGTTAGGGATGCAAATCGTGTTAGTGATTAATATGTTAATTATTTGGTCCATAAAATGTCAGAAAATATAAGAAAAGTCCATCCCAGTTCCTTATATCAAAGGTAATGTCTTAAAATGCACTTTTTGTCAGTCAAAAAGACAAAGATGTTCCGTTTATTATTATATGAAATAGATAAAAGCAGGAAATCTCCATATTTGAGGGGTTAGAAACTGCATTTTCTAACATTTTAGCTTGAACATTTGTTTTAAAGATACTCACTTGTTAAAAGTGTTGCCTAGTGATTATTTGTTTGTGGATTGATGAATGGATTTAATGTCTAATGCGTGACTGAGCCCTGTCCTCTGTATTTCAGCTGGTCATGCAGTATCTGTACTGTGGGGGCACTGAGTCTTTGCACATACGCAACACTGAAGTGATGGAGGTAAGAGGGACTCGCTCGCAGCCTGCAGAGAGACAGTATTAGCATTTCTAATCCCGAGTCCTGTGCCTCATTCTGTGTGGCTCTACTGTTCCCTGCAGCTCCTCTCTGCAGCCAAATTCTTCCAACTCGAGGCCCTTCAGAGACACTGTGAGATCATCTGCTCCAAGAACATCACCACGGAAACCTGTGTGGACCTCTACAAGCACGCCAAGGTGAGACAGATTGTTAATAAGCAGTTTAAATTAATAATAATAACCTTTCACACAAATCAAACCGTCTCTTAAAGATTCTCTATTGCTCATTTTTATATTATCAAGGGAGCAATTTATTTGTACGTGTGAATCTTTAGATAATTATCACCCATTTTCACAGCATTTAGCATCTTTTCACTCATTATTTGGATTTTAAAGACGACCATTTGTATTTGTTTGTTCAGTAGAATTATATTCTAGTCATGGCTAGCAATCCAAACAACATGTCCAATGACTCCAGTGCATTAAGTCCAAAAAGCTAAATTGATTTTTTTTAAACGACAGGTGTAGGCCTTCCTATTTCCAAAATTCATAATATACTGTTTTGACCCATTTTAGTTGGCATTTAGCCTGTCAAAAACAACAAACAATAGAGTGGCTCTCCTGCTGATCATAGCCATTGTAGCATGTTCTTAAAAGTCTTGTTTCCCAGGGAGCTTTGCCAAAATTACAGAGCACAACACTCAACACTGCATTGATTTTAACCAGGAATACAAACACAATGTTTGATCATTTGAAAGATACTTCCATCATATAAAAAGTCTCATATTGATGTTCTTATCACCCTTCAGAATAGTAAAAACCCCTCATCTCTTACACCACAGTTCCTCGGTGCCACGGAGCTGACGGCTTTCATCGAGGGCTACTTCCTGAAGAACATGGTGCTGCTCGTTGAACTGGACGGCTTCAAGCAGCTGCTGTACGAGCCCCCCGCCCCCGAGAGCCCCGCCTCCAGCCCCGGCATCTGCTCCGACATCCTGCTGGACCTGGAGAAGACCCTGGCCGCCCGCATCCACTCCATCCACCTCTCCACCTCCAAGGGCTCCGTGGTGTGAAGCCCTCCAACCAGGCACAGCGTCCATGTAACACCGCCTCCAACATCCAGCCACAGCTGTCCCGCCCCCACTGCTCAGGGGGGGGGGGGGGCTGTCGGAGGTTTTTATGTCAGGGATTCCCTTTAATTCTGCCTGTTGCAGCCCCCCACCCCCCTTAAGGGATAAAGATGACAAAATCAAATGGAGAACTTTCTCTTCCTCGTCAAAATGGCACTGATCACCTCACAGTACGAGAACTGTCAAATACTGACTCCACTCAGCAGTATCACTTAGACCTAATCATGATTATGAAATTCATATAGGATACATGCATGAATTAATTCTGTACACCTTTTTTTGCTTAAAAAGGTTCTAGAAGTAGGATTTTCACTCAATAAAAGCAGCTTTCTCATCATCTCTAATATGAGACTTTAGGTTTACAAACATCATCTTATGGAAGTGGATGCCATCGCAGTATAGTTTGACACATGCCAAAATATATTCCTACTATACAACCAATAAAAGTGACTCGTAGCAATGCCAGCAGACGGACTTTAGGTGGACTTATTTACATTTCTGTCACTTCTATGTTGGATAAGTTTCACTGTTATATCTACTGTGTGCAGAGGCCAAACTGATCACAGGAACTTCCACACCTGAAGTTTCACCGCTCAGTGGAATCTATGCTGACGTATGCTTGAAACACGGATGTCCAACTGGGAAATTAACTTGTGATAACTCCACGAACACTGTTCTTTGCATGACACCTCCTCAACTGAGCTGCCCTGATATTGCTTTTTATGCAGAGCATTCTTCATGGACTACTTTCGCAGAGGGGAGAAGGGGAAACGCTGCTTATTAACTTTCTACCCACTGCAAAACTGACTGAGCTGAGATGGATTTGGATTGGCAGGGACTTTATTCAAAGCAAAGTGTAAATACGTCCTTTAAGTCATCGTGCTGGTCGTTCTTTTTTGTAAACTGATGTACAGTATACTCCCACACCCTGATGACACCAGTCTCACTGAATGTTCTCCTGAACAGTTTGTATGTGTCTGTTTATGCAAACGTTGCATGTTTAATCTTGTTTGTTTGAATCCTCCGTTTCGCTTTAGGTGTGCTTTCCGTGTAGATGGGTAGGCTGAGCAGCGTGTGGATTGTTCCGGAAAAAGACCAGTCAAAAAGACCATCAATGACTTTGTTTTTTCTGATGAATTCCATAAGATCAGGGTAGGTCACTCAGATGAATTTTAAAGTCACGGCTTTACCTCAATAACATCAAGGATAGGTTGAATTCCATCACACTGTAGGCAGTGAATGTATTAGAGACACAGTTATGTGACTCATACATGTAGTGCATCCCTTCCATTTGCTTTAACGCACCCTTTCAAATTGTACCTAAAATGTTCTGGGAACACTATATTTCTTAAACCATTGACCTTCATTTGTCATCAAATTCACAATTTAAGACAACACATCTTTATATTCAAACAAAAAATAAAGGGCAAAATGTCAAACACCTGAGACTATTAACACAGCAATAATTAATTAAAGAAAAATACTTAAAATGAGACAATCTATAAATGTCCAAATATAGATCTGAAATGTACCAGTTCAAGTTTCATTTGTATTCTACCTGTTTTAACAAATAATGATCGTCACATTCAGATGTCTATATAAATTATTAATGTGACGGTTCGAGGCGTTTTGTTATCTGTCTCAGGTGTGACCGTGTGAAGTCAGAGCCAGCAGCTTTAGTATAAAGATGTGTTGTTTAATAATGTGAATCCTGGGAAACATCGGCTACCAAAATATTGTGTCTTTGATAAACTCAGTGCAGAAATTCAACATTTTTGTCCACATAATTCTTTCTACACACCTATCAACCACATGTGGATTATATAATACTAATCAAATCTGAAAGGACCAAAATGTTAAACTGGCCACATTTCTTTATAGCAGCAGCCTTTGTTGTTTTTATTCTAAATTGAGCCCCGTCACTAAGATACCATCCATCTGTATTTAGGAGCAATCCTTGAACCTACAGTATTTGATTGAATGTAACAATGCAACAGAAGTTTAATATTTACAAAAATGGGCAATATCTTTAGTCCAGCAGCATACCAAAAAAATGAAACATCCTTTTGTTTCCGGTGTCTCCTGTGCCCTCATAGTTTGTGATGTTGTTCCTACAGGAATCCGACTCTACCTTTGGACAGATCTTAAATCATTGTAGCACACTCAAAATGGATAAATTATATGTGTTAGGCCCAACCACATTTTAACAGAAACATAAGCATATAAGAGTTGGTTTAAAGTTCTGTAAATAGTTACAGAAAGGGAAATATAGATATTAACCTACGGCTTTATTTTCTTACCTTTACATAGCACTCTATATTTTATTTTACATTCCACAGCTATTTTGTTTTACAAAAGTTATAAAAGATTATATAAAAAGATGCTTTGAAATCAAGCAATATTTATGTGAAACTGTACTACTCTGAGTAGTATGGTGAATAATATGCCACAGGATATTGAGCTACTGTATAAATGTGAATTGAACGACACATAGCAAAAACAAATGAGTGACTGAAAAACCCTGAATATAATAGCTGTCTTTATATTTCTGTGACATCCCATTTATTACATTTTGTTATGTATTTCCCTCATTTTAAAAGAAATTGTATAACTTATAGGGTGCCAGTTTGTTGATTTAACACTGAAATAAATAACATTAAGCTTTATACCGAATCATAAAACATTCCCACATTTTAAGTGAAACATGTTATTTAAAGGGTAAATGTAACTTAAAGATGCAAACCATTTTGTCTCCACTGAGATAAAAAGGTTCATAATGATGTCAAGCACTTCTTGTGCAAGTGTTACTCTCACACGTTCAGAAGCATTATAACAGTGAGCTAGTCTTATTGTGATAAACAGCAGCTGAATATGGCTTTAGAATAAGAGAATACGTCGGAATCTTTTTTTATTTAGTCTTAATGTGATGCTATTAAAAAGGCTAACGTTAGCTTGCCCCTGTGCTGCGATTTGATTAGAAACTGGGTCAAAGCCGTTAAATGTGGGTTTGCATGGCTGTTCTTGTTTAATGTTGTTGAGAATGTGCTTTGTACACCAGCTTTGTCAAACAACACTCTCCTCTTAGTTTGTCTGAGCATTTATGTGCCTGCGTATTTGTTCCTGGTAATAAACAACACGGTGACACCTAGACGCAGTGGAAACATGCATCAACGATGGGGACGGGGGTTGAACTTTTTTGCTATTCTTTTTTCCTTTGATGAGAACATGTATATTGTACAAAATATATATATAAAGTATACATGGTGTGAGAAGCAGGGATGTGGTAGAGTTTAACAACACAGAGGAATGTTACACTCATGCTGCAGTTTCTGTTGTTCCATGACATGCTTTTGTGGACAGCTAATAAATGACCAGAGTTTAAACTGTATCAAAGTCTGTTTTTTGGCTTTATTTATTATAAAGATTACTTAGAATGTGGACACAATCTAGGGACAATTTACAGCAACACAGATATAACAGACGAAAGCAAGTAAAGCAACATTTCCTTGGAATAATTGTATTATTTTCCAAGGACACTGCAGCATCCCCTGAATGAAAATGTGACATATCTGGCTTCAGCCCAGCAGCAGGGTGTTTTATCGATCCTTTTACTTCCAGCGGGCAAATGACTCAAAGTACTTAAAGTCGTGACAGCGCCCTCACAGAGCCAGCAGACTGTCACAGTGAGACTGATGAAGGAAAAACAAGGTCATAAAAAGTCTTGAGGAGAATTTGGCTGTGATCCCCTTTTACAGGGGATTCCTGTTTTGTTCTGTCTCCACAGGAATACACTGCAACAAAAAGGAACTGGCCATTCATCCATGAAAGTATTATACCACCTTAGCAATTTTAATAATAATAGTTCATTTATACCTATTAGTAGAATAAGTATTTTGGGCAATGTTTTTTCTGGTAGTAGTCGGTAAGGTGAATGTGAATATGGGTTGTAACACCATTGCGGATGTGAAGGCACTTATTGCATAAAGAAAACCTGAATAGCTAATACAATGGTGCTACATGGTAGATTTACTTGTGCAGAATTTGACAGATATAATATTAGAGCTGAAACAAACAGTTCCCAAATCTATGAGAGGACTAAAAAGGCAATTATATCCTCCTCAGTGTCATAACTTCACATGAAAATAAGTGGATACTGTGGTGACCACCTATTTATACACTGGGTTCATAATTCATACATGGAACTACAGTTGGGGGTATTGTTCCCACACGGACATGTTATGTGTTTTACTATATATATTGTGTGCCCTCCTCTCTTCACTCTCTTCTTCCCGGACTGCAACCGGACAACATGACCTTAGTAGTTGCTCTCCAATAAAGTACCCTTTTGCACCACCTCAGACTCCCTATTTCTCGGCACTACACTGGTGACCTCGACACGTCTCGAGAAGTTTCCGGGACGGACCCGAACACGGCAGTGGATTTTTTGGAATCGTCCGTGGCTGCCACCGGCACGCGGACTGAGGCTCGGTGCACGCCCCGCAGAAGAGCTGGGGACGTTGCTCGCCATTCCCGCATCAGCCTTCCATCCAACAGGGGGACGATACACGACCTGCTGGGTCGACCAGCAAACCGATTGCTACCTTGTGGGCTTGTTTCTTCAGAGCGTGCGGCTGCACGTCCCGGCTGCGGTAGCTGACGACGACTAGCGGCTAACCACAAGGGGCTAACGACGGCTAGCAGCTACCCATGTCTGCCAGCTAACGGCTGTCGACGTATTTCTGTTAACATCTGACTGTTAACATTTGTTTCTGGTGCCGGAGAGGAGGTTCGACCAGCCGGTTGACCTCGTGTGGCCTGGGTGGCGCACTCCTGGACCCCGTCTCGCCTCGACAGTTCCGGACGTCGCCCATGTGCCATCGGCCCATGGGTGGCGCGCTCCGGGACCCTGTCTGGCCTCTCATCCATATAGATGCGTAAAGCACGAACTGGACACAGCAAATTCGGCCGCTGTTCCTCAGAGGAACACAGCGGCGGAGGAAATGCCACAATGTCAATGGGGGTACATGAGCCAACCACCTTAGGTATAAATGCAGGGTTGGGCTTCAGCAACACTCTCGTTTGCCCCGGGGCAAACTGAGTGCATGAAGGATGTACAGAGAGCGCATGAATGTCACTGACTCGCTTGGCAGATGCCAGAGCCAGTAACAGCACTGTCTTCAGTGACAGGTGTTTCATGTCAGCTTCTTTCAGGGGTTCAAATGGAGGTCGAGTGAGCCCATCTAAAACCACTGCCAAGTCCCATAAGGGCACCAGTGACCTGGAAACAGGGAGGAGCCTGCGAGCCCCTTTCATAAAACCGCACACCAAAGGATGTTGGCTAGCCGTCTTTCCCTCAAAGCCCACATGGCATGCAGCAATAGCAGCCAGGTACACTTTGATCGTAGAGAAAACTCTGTGTTTATCAATTAAGTCCTGTAGAAATTATAAAATCACCCCGACAGGACATTGAAAAGAGATGTGTCCTTTTTGAAGGCACCACTCCTCAAACACCCTCCACTTACAGTCATAGAGAGACCTGGTGGAGGAAGCTCTCGCACTCTGAATAGTATTTATCACCTTCTGAGGGAGCCCCACTGTATTCAGATTGTACCACTCACGAGCCAGGCCCATAGTGCCAAGCGCTCTGGGTGTGGGTGAAAGATCGCCCCCCCGCCTGAGACAGTATGTGTCACGATCTGTCTTTATGGTGTTGTGTCTTGTCTAGATCTGTTTTTGGTTTTCTGTCTGCGTTGTGTCTTGTTTAGATCTGTCTTTGGTTTTCTGTCTGCGTTGTGTTTTGTCTTGTTTAGATCTGTCTGTGGTTCCCTGTCGTTAGTTTTCCTGGTGTGTCTGATTACCCGATTGTGTTCACCTGTGGCCCCTGTGTTTTCTCCTCCCTCCTCACCTGTGTCTTGTTTGTGTGTTTAGTCTTGTGTGTATTTAAGTTCTGGTTTTTCTGTCTGTCTTTGTCGGTTCGTCTTGTGTCATGACTAGTTTGTCGGTGAGTGTTCTGTTCTGTCTTTGTTAGTATAGCCTTGAAATAAAGGAATTTTCACGTTAATCTGCATTTGGGTCCTACCTGCTTCACACACCGTAACATTACGAACCGACCCACAAATGGACCCAGCAGATGATCCATGGGAGGTAGAATTACAGCATTTTACCTTATATCTGGCTTGCTGCTTCGATTGGTGGAAGGGAGCGTCCAGTGTTCGGCAGAAGAGGGCTGCTCTGGTAGAGGCGCACCGGTTGGCAGCAGAGAAACTATGTTTTGTGGAGTTCTTACCTGACTGGATTTTGGACTTCCTTGAAACATGTGATTCCCGGCCTGCTAGCCCCAGGCATGCTAACTCCATGTCTCCCAATTCCCAACCTGGCACCATACGCCTTGGTGGGTTCCGCCTGAAGTCAACCCGTGCTTCTGCCTCAGTTCCTGCTCCTGTCCAGGAGTTGTATTCCGGAACTCGTCTGGCTTATGGAGGTCCACGGAGTATTCAGGCGGCTGCTAAGAGGAGTCGTCGCAAGGCCAGGCTAGCAGCCCGAGCCCCAGCAGCCATGGTTCCGGCTACAGAACCGGCCCACACAGCCATGGTTCCGGCCCCAGCAGCCATGGTTCTGGCTTCAGTACCGGCCCCAGAAGCCATGGGCTCGACTCCAGTTTCAGCTACAGGGCTGGCTCCCCAAACGACGCCAGCTCCCCGAGTCTTGTCGGCGTACCGGCCGACTCCAGCACCTCGTCTCCTGCTGGCTCTCCAGCCGACGCCAGTTCCCCGAGTCCTGTCGGCGTACCGGCCGACTCCAGCACCTCGTCTCCTGCTGGCTCCCCAGCCGACGCCAGCTCCCCGAGTCTTGTCGGCGTACCGGCCGACTCCAGCACCTCGTCTTCTGCTGGCTCCCCAGCCGACGCCAGCTCTCCGAGTCTTGTCGGCGTACCGGCCGACTCCAGCACCTCGTCTCCTGCTGGCTCCCCAGCCGACGCCAGCTCCCCGAGTCTTATCGGCGTACCGGCCGACTCCAGCACCTCGTCTCCTGCTGGCTCCCCAGACTACGCCAGCTCCCCGTGTCCTGTCGGCGTACCGACCGACACAAGTCACCTCTCAAGTCCCCTCTCAAGTTTCCCCTCTAGTCTCCTCTCGAGTCCTCTCTCAAGTTCCCTCTCTAGTCCCCTCTCGAGTCCCCTTTCAAGTCACCTCTCAAGACCCCTCTCAAGTTCCCTCTCAAGGCTCCTCTCCAGTTCCCTCTCAAGTCTCCTCTCGACCTACCTCTCAAGTCCCCTCTCGAGTCCCCTTTCCAGACACTTCTCAAGTCACCTCTCTAGTCCCTCCTCTGGTCCCTTCCCGAGTCCCTCCTGTAGTCCCTTCCCAAGTCCCTTCTCTAGTCCCTTCTCTAGTCCCCTCTCCAGTTCCCTCTCCAGTTCCCTCTCCAGTCCCCTCTCCAGTCCCTTCTCCAGTTCCCTCTCGAGTCCTCTCTCAAGTTCCCTCTCAAGTCCCCTCTCAAGTCTCTACCCGAGTCCCCTCTCGAGTTTCCTCTCTAGTCTCCTCTCAAGTTCCTTCTCGAGTCTCCTCTCGAGTTCCCTCTCAGGTCCCCTCTCAAGTCACCTCTTGAGTTCCCTCTCTAGTCCCCTCTCGAGTCTCCTCTCGAGTTCCCTCTCAAGCCCTCTCTCGAGTCCCCTCTCGAGTTTCCTTTCGGGTCCCCTCTCAAGTCACCTCTCGAGTCTCCGTTCAAGTTCCCTCTCGAGATTCCTTTCAAGTCACCTCTCAAGTCAACTCTCAAGTTTCCTCTCGAGTTCCCTCTCAAGCCCTCTCTCGAGTTCCCACTCAAGTCCCTACTCATGTGCCGTTGGAGGTCCCGCAGACTACTCTTCTGCCGGGGGTCCTGCCAACCCCGTGTCCTGTCCCGTTGGAGGTTCCGCTGGGGATCCTGCCAGCACCTTGTCCTGTCCCGTTGGGGGTCCCGCCGACTACTCTCCTGCCGGGGGTCCTGCCAACCCTATGTCCTGTCCCGTTGGAGGCCCTGCCGACTACTCGCCTGCCGGGGGTCCTGCCAACCCTGTGTCCTGTCCCGTTGGAGGCCCCGCCGACTACTCTCCTGCCGGGGGTCCTGCCAACCCTGTGTCCTGTGCCGTTGGAGGCCCCACCGACTACTCTCCTGCCTGGGGTCCTGCTAACCCTGTGTCCTGTCCCGTTGGAGGCCCCGCTGACTACTCTCCTGCCGGGGGTCCTGCCAACCCTTTGTCCTGTCTCGTTGGAGGTCCCGCCGTCTACTCTCCTGCCGGGGGTCCTGCCAATCCTATGTCCTGTGCCGTTGGAGGCCCCGCCGACTACTCTTCTACCGGGGGTCCTGCCAACCCCATGTCCTGTTTCGTTGGAGGCCTCGACATCACATGTCTCGCC